TAAAGTGTTTTCCTTTAAGACTTTAACATTGAAAAAAAAAATCTTATAAAAGTACACAGTTTTATAGTCTTTGGAAAAGAATAACATAGCTAGACCAGATAGATTATTTGTATTTAATTCTATTCAAACTCAGTTTGTTGGTTGATTTAACGATTACTTTTATTGATCAATTACATTCATCTTGTTATTATATTGTGCGTATTTATTTTCTTTGATTTATTTATTTACGTATTTATTTTTTGTGCCAACTCTTAGTTATACAGTTATCTTGCTTTCAACCTACGTAAATCTATTAGATAGTTTGTTATGTTGTTTGCCTACATTTTACTGTAATTGTTCCCTAAACCCCATAATAACTCTATTGCCTAACTACAAAAACATGAATAATCCACCATGGCCATATTGCCATTGCATTGCATGAACACTATTCAACAACATTGAAAAATTATCAGAACCATCCTTCGGCTACATTTATGTCTTACATGCATTTCATAACTAGAGTTACAAGAAATTCATGATACCATGAAATGTTTTTAAGGATATATCCCCCAGCCTTGTCGAGCGTTACAATTCATCATAACATATTTCTTTTGGTAGGTACAAGACTTAAATTTGGAGATATCATCTGCAATGGAAAATTGCACTGTCATTTGCTTCATTAAGCACTTTGAGTCAAGTTATGGAGGGCAGAAAGTTGATAGATACAATGTTATTAAAGTGTACACAGCTGAAGAAATGAAACAGCACATCTCTCACAAAAACTCTCCACCAAAACAAGTATCTCAGCAACAGTTTTTCAGCCCAACAACAAGCAAGGTATTGGAGGCAATTGCCGAAAAAATTGAACCAATTCAGAAGGCTGAATCTTCAGTGTTTTCTTCGGCTAAAAGAAGCCTCTTCAAACCAGAGGATGCCATGGACATAGAATCACTTCCAAAAATGAGAATCCTTCCACAATTTGTCCAGCATGGCGATGTTGCTTGTCCTGACGTTGCTTGTCCAGCTTCAACTCCACAGAAAATGGAATTGCCACCTCTACTCAAAAAGCCAAGGAAAAAAAAGGATTGACTTTGCTTTAAACATTGAAGTTAGAAACTGTTTACCTATATATTATCCATGACTGTTGGCTTTCTTAATAGGTGCTAATATCTACATTAGAGGATCCTGCTTTTGTTATATATGATAAGGATACCACAATTAACAAACTCTGCTTTATCTTTTGTAGGGTTAAACATCTCCTTTTGTTGCATGTAATATAAGATGCCTGTAGTTAAAACTACTCATATTTTATCTTTTGTATGATTAAAACATCTCTTTTGCTGTATGTATTATAAGATATCTACTTTTATTGTATGTATTATAAGTTGTCTACATGGAATACTCAATGAAATTTAAGATGCCATCACAGAAAAATATATATTTTGTGTCCATAACAATAATATCAAAATATATGCTATAAAATTATTCTTCTAATTGCTATATTTTAATTTGTATCTGGTACAAGAATAAATAAATGTTATAACAATGCTATTTATTTACATGAAATTATCATATAACATAAATAAAAATATATACGAACACAAAATACACAGTGGGCATGGCCGTGCTGTGCACGGCCAAGGCCTATCTAGTGTTTACTATATGTCCACTGTCCAGTATTAATATAGGGGAAAACAATTCGAATCAATTACAATTAAAGTATTAATTTTTAAAAGCCTGAATGCTTATAAATTTCTGACAATTTCTTTTTAACAAACTTTTCCTTTGTAATGAAAATAAAACAAAACAATAAATAAATGAAACCGTAAATAATTTTTCCAAAACTCATTACTATTATAGTCCAAATTTTCTGCCAACACAACCAATGAGATCCAGTCAAGGAGAACCACGTTACAAATTGTATGTTGGCCATGCTTATGAGAAAGTCAGAAAATAGACCAAATTCAATGAATTTAATTGATAAAAATAGTATGAAACGATTTGTTTTGAAATATACCTACGCTTAATTGATAAATATCTTTACAGTCCTTTTCTCTTAAAATACTATGATTACAATTTTGTCACCAAAAATATATCAAACATAAAAACTTTTTAGTCTTATCATTTTTTTTTTAAAAAAAAACACTCGTTTTTTGAAAGTAATATAAATATATATATATATTTATATATTAATGCACTAAATTTAATTTTATTTCTATCAATAATTCAATATAGACAACCTTGTACGAAAAAAAGGCAATATAATGGACTCAAAGGGAATTTATTTATACCTCTAGCATTAATTTTATTAAAGGATGTTGTGCGTCTAATACAAATNCTTCAAAGCATGCCTCTTACCTGTTAATTGGATGTATCCAACGCGTAAAAACAATCCCTAACGAATGACAATAAACCCAAAGCCTTTCTTCCTGATACATTTCTGCTTAATTTCTCACTCTATATAGTATATTCGAACAATTTAAGAAATTGCTTGACTTGACTTGACCAATTTGCATTTGATATTTTTCCAAAGACCAACAAACAAAAATTAAATAAAAAGAAAAAGAAAAAGAAAAAAGTTGAAAAGACGGTTATGCCCCCTCCCCTTCTGATCCCCACAAATACAGTGCACACTCCCTATGATGGGTATAAATATCAGAGAATCAAAACTGCCATTCCCACTCTGACTACAAACAAAAATGACGTCTCCTTTCGTCGCCCTCTCAGTTCTGTACGCTTTTCTCATTTCTTCTACTCTTTCGTTTTCAGATTCAAATAATGGCGAAATTTCTTCCTATCCGAAGACGCAAGCCGAGAAACTCATAAGGTCTCTCAACTTGTTCCCTGAGCATGAAGTGAACCTCCATCGGCCCGATTCACATAATGCGTCAATATCAGGGATTGTCGAAAAGCAATTTAAGTTCCCATTCATGGAGGCTGATGATTCTATTCAGGACTTGGGTCACCATGCTGGTTATTACACTCTCCCGCACAACAATACTGCCTGGTATGCATAAATAATTTGTGAACACACTCTGTTTACTTTGTTTATCTTGTAGAAGAATTTATGTGTTTTTTGTATTTGAATGTGAGATATATCGGGTAGTCAACGGTTTTTGTGTTTGGAGATTTGGATTAATTGTTTGATAAGATTCCAATTGATGATTGGATTGGATTATTGTGCATATGATTATTGTGAATCAGTGAATGCATGAGGCCTATGTAAAACTCTGAAATGAAGAACGTTTCTGATCCATAAAATTTTAAAGGAATTTAAACTACCGCTAACAAATGCTTCTTATAACACTAGTAAAGTGCACGTGCGATGCACGTGGTATCGAATGATTTTCGCTGAGTAAGTTTATAAAATAAATTAATTTATTTATTAAACATATCATTGAAGGAATGAAATAAAATATAGAACCAATGAATTCATATTTGATTTTTTTTTTATTTAGAATTATCGTAATGATGTCTTAATATAAAAAGAATTAAATAACGTTTTACAACCCCCAACCAAAATATATAAAAAATAAATCCTTAATACAAAAAATACTAAGATTTTCTTTCATTTCTCATAAGAAACATTCATACTCGTTGGAGTCCAATACATCAATATTATTGCAAAATTTCTCTTAATTCATTTGGCAAAACGCTAATTTTATTCAAACACTTAAGAAACATTTTGACCCAACATATAGTCAAACTTCATGATCGTATAATCTTTATAATGAGGTACTTCTACTAACAATGCATAAATACCTCTATGAAATAACTAACTGTGTCATTAAAATTGCTGGTATTTTTTATCATTGTATAAACTACTACATTCCTCTGTCTCTAGACATATTGGTGCCTACGCCATTGATGCATCGCCCCACGAGGTGAGAATGAATTTTATCTCCAAATAAAAGTTGACTTTCTAAAATTTTGATACATGTACTTCTCCCGAGGTGCTAAATTATTTTTTGAAATCATCATACATTACCTGAAAGTACCTCTAGAGTAATTGTACATACGTTTGAGTACAATACACCAATAAGATTATAAATATTTTTATAAAAAGTAACAACTTCATTCGAACATTCAAAACTGTTTTGCTACTCCGACATTGTTATTTATTTGGAATATAGACGAACAATATAATCTATTATTTGAAAATTATTGATCATCATGGTTGTTGCAATGATTTTAGAATTGTTTATCGTAATATCTTTCACATTCGTTTGAATGTGCAATATTTGTATGCCTAATAACTTCTTTAATGCTTTTATTATCCAACATTATTCAGCATACAAAATGATTATAACATTCAAGATAAAGATCATTTCTTTATTCTCCAACAATGACAAAACAAAACAATCAAAACAATGAGAAAATATTGAGAAGCATATCATTTGTTAAAATATTTGATAGAAGAGGAATTAGAATTCTATTATATTACGATACTCTTAGTCATCTGCAAAGTTTATTATTATGAGTCATAATTAAAATATACATTATGTATTACAAATTTTTGGATTTTTTAATTATTTAAAATTAAAAATAAATAATATAGGATCATTATTTATGAAACCAATTTCTTACAAAGTCCATATATTTAAACGCTAGCAACAAAAAGTAGTAATTTTCAAAGACCTTTTGTTTGTAAATATTGGTATTCATACTTCTCTAAGAAAATTCACACGTATTCTTTTTCTCATTGTGTTACTATTATATTATTTGTTTCTTATTCTATAGACAAATAATATTTTATTTGCTAAATAATTAAAGCACATTTATATGTATTGCGTTATTTTTTGTATGTGTTTTATATAATGATGTTTTCAAATTATCTTTTTTATTAGGCTACAACTACTATAATCACATAAGATACAATGTAAATTTAATATATTTGATAAAAATGTACTTTTTATACGAATTATTAGATTAAAAAGTTTACAATTTTTCCAATGTTTGATAAAATATTAGGTAACTAAGTCATTCTTTTTCAAGCAGTAATTGAATAATAGTTTAACGTACAACTCATTTATTTGTCTTTTTAATTCACATAGCTAATGTTATCTCATTTCCTTTCTATGGCCTAGTCTTTTCCTTCTTTTATCTATGACTTCACTTTGCTTCTCTTCGTTTGCACCTAATGTGCATTCCCCATAGTTTCAACATTACGACAAGCCAGTGTCAAATATATATCGGGAATTGACGCTCTAGCCAAAACGTGGGAATAGTTGTAAGTTTACCTCCATTTTTTTATTTATTTTTTAATATGAATTGTTTCAAATCTATGTAAGAAAAATATACCACAAGTTTATCTTATGTTATTTTATACTTAATAAAATTGATTTAACTTGAATAAAAAAATTAATATATACTATAATTTTAGGTCAATTTATTATTTTTAAATTAGTACTGATATATAATATATATGTATGTATATGTGTATATATATAATATATCGATATAAATAATTATATTATTTTTATTTTATTTGCAATATATTGGTCAACTCAAACATTATTGAAAAGAAATGATGTGATATATTACATATAAAAAGAGTAACAAATAAAAAATATGAAGTATTTTAAAATTAAAATATATGTGTATCTTAAATATGTTCTATATTTCTCCTTAGCCAGCTTCAATTGATATTGTACATAAAGTAATTTTATCAGTAATTTTACTCTTGATTTAATGAGAACCATAAGTTTTCTCATCATTCTTACCCCTTATTTAGTTATTATAATAGTAATAAAATAATTAAGGACCTTTCAAAGTATCTTGTTTGTTTTGAAACAAAAATTACTTATTATCATAAATTAAACGACAATTACATTGAATGTGTTATATTTTCTATCATACAGAATTTTCATAATAATAGTTGCACACAATATTATATATAATGCAATTTTTTTTAATAGATTTGGAGTCCTACTTTTACTACAAGAAAATGAGAAAATTCCAACGAAAATTACAACAAGAATATAACGATCTTCTTAAGTTGAATTGAGAAAAATCATGTCTTTTGGTTTCTTAAATATATTTTATCTTATTGTGAGTGTATTGATTCATAAAAATGTATTACAAATGAGAAAGGTGATAGATTATGTAAAGTATAATTTATAAATTGCAATGACATGTTATTTTGATGGTATATTTTTTCTATTAACTAAATAATGCCCCCATTATGAAACTATTTTGAATCTATCACTGCAATTAACTTTCCAATGGAATTTTCATTGAATATTTGCACAATTCCAATGACAGTTTTCCAACGATTGAAATATGGTCCAAAAGAAATTCTAATGAAAATTCAAGTAATTGAAATATTTAAATCCACTAAAGTTCATGTAATTTAATTTGAACTCTGTTGGAATAGCCAATAAAATTTTCTAATGAAAGCAATATTTATGAAATATTCGTTGGAATTTTTTGTAGAATACCTTACCGTTGTATCCACCACTGCAGCTAGATTTTGAATAGAACTTTTATTGAAATTCTTACTATTCCAGTGACATTTTTCCAACTGTTGAAATATGACATGAAAAAAATTCAAACGGAAATTCACACAATAATAAGTAATGATAATTGGATTAATTAAATCAACTGAATCAATATAATGTAATTTGATCTATGTTAAAATAGTCAATAAAATTTTACAATGACAGCTATATGAATAAAATATCATTTGAGATTTTCAGTGGATGTCTTACAGTTGGATTTTTCATTGCAATGTACCATTTTTTTATTCCTTTATAATTTGTATTTTTTATGTAGGAGTTTTTTTATTAATTAGATGTATTTATAATTTTTCTATTAAAAATATATTAAACACATGAACTTTTTAATCCATATACTTTTTAAAAATCACACATTATTTTATCGCAAGACTACCTATTAACTTATCAATTGAGTTACATTTCATGTACATTAAATATCAAATAATAAAAAGTATTATTGCATATATATAATATGGTATTTATATATTATATTAAAAAACTAATAGAAAATAAAAAGTTATTTAAAATCAAAATTATCAAAGTTTTTTTTAACAAAATAAAAATAAATTTCTAACCTACATGGATAGTATAAATAACTATTGTCTATCGTCTAAAATTTATACATTGAACTAATAAGCGCAAAAATTTAAAATATGGTGAACAATTTGGCTCATTTACATCGATAAGTACAAATTTAAAAGGTCAACAATTACTTTTACTAATTATAATATTTATTACTTTTTTTCATAGTTATTAGTAAGTGTTACAACTTAATTATAAATTTAATATTATTTATTAGATTTATTATTTTTTTAACTTTAAACTGTTCTTTCATATGTATTATAATATATGTGTGTGTGTGTATATATAACTTTTAGGTTTGTTAAAAAATACATAAAATTAAAGTACAACACTTTTTTGAATCATATGTCTTATTTATATCAATTAATTTTACATCTTTATATTATATTATATATAATTATAATCTTCTCATTTATAGTCAAATATATAAATTTTTTATTTCGTACATTTTTTCTTAAAATCCATTTTATTATAATAACACATATTAATAGATAGATGAGTAATGATAATATATGAATATAATTTTTTGATTAAAATTAATTATTTTTTAACATGTAAATCATATCATGATTCTCGAGATATTTTTAATTAATTTGTAGATATTTATATGGTTAAAATTAATCCATGTTGCTAACGTGGTATCTCATTTGACGTGAAAACAAATAGATTAAGTTTTAGTATTATACAATTTCATAAAATTGTTATGGTCTTTTGTACCGAAGAAATTGAATTGATTAGAAGTTTAGATTGCAGAACAATCATTCAACAATTAATCTCGCATACTATTACACATTTTGTATAGGGTATTTTGAAAATAATGTTTCTATACTTTGTGGTTGTTATGAGAAAAACAATATCGATTTCTAGTTTTATAAGTGTTTATTATGCTTTTTTGTTGGATCAATTTTAATTTCTTTAAAGAACTTTTATATATTAGAGCTATGAATGTGATTACAATATTATCATTAAAATTATATTAAAAATAATGACGTTTTTCAAAACAATAATTCTATATCATATCAAACAGTTTTAGAGATATGTGGAAGAGAACAAATTCGTGAGAAATAATGGTGCCAAACCAACATATTGTAGTTGATTTTAGGACTGTGGAATGATTTGTGCATGTATTTGTATTTAATTAATTAAATATTAATTATAATTAAAAATATAAGATATGATGGACATTAGTTTATTACTAATTTGCCATTAAAAACATGTCAAAGTAAGGATTTTTTAGGTAATTTATTTTAATATTTAAAAATATAAAATATGATGTGTATTAGTGTATTACTAATTTGCCATTAAAAATATGCCAAAGTAAGGGTTTTTTAGGTAGTTCATATTTTTACAAAAACGCTCGTCCTTTTAGAGTAGTATAGATAGATATAGATATAGATATAGATGATAATAGTAAGGGGCCATAAATATTGTCAGAGTTGTAAAAGATCCCTTTTGTATGTATTCATTTAATATTTGTAGTGTATTCAATGCAGATATATTGTAATTTTAAAAACATTTTGTCTATACTTGGAATTCTTTTCTGCAGTGTATTAAATGCATATATACATGTAAATATGCAAATTGAAGTGTACAGATCTGTATATTTTTCTTTTCTTTTTTCTTTTCCTTTTCCTTTTCCATGTTTCTTTTGTGGATTGGCTTTCTGATGTCATAATCGTGTGCAGGATGTTTTATTTTTTCTTTGAGTCGAGAAGCAACAAGAGTGATCCGGTGGTTATATGGCTAACCGGAGGACCCGGTTGCAGCAGTGAATTGGCTTTGTTCTATGAAAATGGACCTTTTCATGTGACGGACAATTTAACCCTTGCGTTGAATGATTTCGGATGGGATAAAGTACGCTTTCTATATGAAATAACCCCCACATTTGATTTATCATATAAGTTGGTTATATATGGTGCATGTGTGTTGATTAGAGGTATTGAATAAACTGTAGGTATCGAATCTCATATATGTGGACCAACCGATTGGGACGGGTTTTAGCTACAGTTCTGAAAAGGACTACATTAGGCATGACGAGGAAGGTGTAAGCAATGATTTATATGACTTCTTGCAGGTTTGTATTTGTTGAATCAATTCAAATTGAATAATATACTCACAATACATGTATGTATGCATATAATAATGAGATTCATAATTATACCTAAAATATGCCAGGCTTTCTTCAAGGTGCACCCTCAATTGACAGGGAACGATTTTTACATTACTGGAGAATCATATGCCGGGCACTACATTCCAGCTTTTGCTACCCGGGTTCATCAAGGGAACAAAAACAATGAAGGAATTCAAATTAATCTAAAGGTATTCAATTTTTTTTTTTTTTTATTTGATGTCTGAAAGGAATTTCATTTGACCTTTCCTATTTTATTTTTTTTATTTGTATGTAATTTGTTCCTCATTTGATTAAGGGATTTGCGATCGGCAATGGACTAACAAATCCCGAGATACAATATGGGGCATACACTGATTATGCTCTGAACATGAGCCTGATCACAAATATAAATTACGACAGAATGAGTCAGTCGGTATTGAAATGTCAGCAAGAAATTCAGCACTGTGGTAAATTCGTACTTCCATCTCTGAAGCAAGTAGCTGGAATTTAATTATGCTTCTATTTATCTTGCATTACTTTTTAATTTAATTTTTGGGTTCTTAGGAGTTGACGGTGGTGATCATTGTGAGTCGGCGTTCTATATATGCAACGATTATGTCTTTAAAAGGATAGAGCTTATTGCCAAAGTTGAAAATGTTAATGTAAGAAAAAAATATATATCTTTTAACAAACAGATAATCTGTTTAACTTTTTAACCACACGATACATTTGTATTTTATTTTAATATCTTTCACGTGCAGCCCTATGACATAAGAAAGCAATGCGTGGGCGAGCTTTGCTACGACTTTTCCAACATGGAGAGATTTCTAAACTCAATGTCAGTGAAAAGCGCTCTTGGTGTGGGGCACATTGATTTCGTGTCTTGCAGCCCAACTGTTTTCAATGCTATGATCACTGATTGGATGAGAAATCTCGCGGTCGGAATTCCTGCACTTTTGGAGGATGGGATCAAATTTCTGTCATATGCTGGGGAATACGATCTCATATGCAATTGGCTCGGTAACAAAAGCTTTTATTTTATGGTTTCGAGTTTTTGTTGTTAATCTTTGTAGCCTGAGTTCAATCTTGAGACAACTTGACATGTAAGCACCATCTGTTAAGCAACTCAACATATTTGAATTCAAATGTTTGGGCAGGGAATTGGAGGTGGGTTCACGCGATGCAATGGTCTGGGCAGAAAAGTTTTGTGGCCGCTAAGGAAAGCCCATTTAGAGTGGGCGGAGTGGATGCCGGGCTGCAAAAGGGGTATGGGCCGCTAACATTCCTCAAGGTTTACAATTCGGGGCATATGGTGCCCATGGATCAGCCCAAATATTCATTGGAGATGCTGAGGAGGTGGATGCAGGGCAATCTGTCTTCCACAGATGTGTGATTCTAATATAACTTGACCAACATAACAAACCTTTTGCTAAATGTATAAAGGTTTCACACAAATCAGGGGTTCATACAATACAAACATGAATTATTTTTAAATGTCATTTGTTGTTCTATGTTTATGTTGAAGCAAGGAGGTAGTGTCAGAAAGCAGAATTGACAGTGTGTTTTAATTGCAAATTAAATGTATAAAAAAAAAAATTGCAGTTAAGTGATAACTGCAGCAGTGTTTCAAGAATTTTTGAAGTGTGATTGTTTCATATGCCTTCTTTTTTATGCATGAGATTGATTATACTTATAATGTAGTATGAAATGTTGGGAAAAATACGCTGAAATTTCCATGAAGTCGGATCTATAAAAGTGAAATAAAAAAAAATAAAAATTGGACACACCAATTTGATAACGGAGTTCGGCCAATAATGCCTACGTCTCCGGACTACTGCAGATATTTTATTAGGAGAAAAGAGATACACTCGTGTTTACAAAACACTCAACCTTACTCACAACTCACAACTCAAATACACACAGAAGCTAAATTCTTGCTTCTTGTTCACACCCTTTTTCTCTCTTTTTTTTTTTCTTCTTTCTTGGTGTTGTTCTTTTCGTTGTGGTGTATTTTATCTGCTGAATATCCCCTCTATTTATAGAGGGGAAAGTGCCCCGTTTTCCACAAAAGACTGCTAACATTTTTCTCCAAAGGCCTGCTGCTCATTTTTTATTCTTTTTGCTGCTTTCAAAAATAATGGGCGCAGCCCTTTTGTTCTTCGTGTGCTGTCAAGATAAGGTGGCTTGCAGCCATTTTTACTCAACAATCTCCCACTTGAGGACTGATTTTAATCTGTCCTCACACCTCAATTACTGCAGTAGTCTTCTCAGGTCTGTTATCCTAGCTGGCCAACTGAAGTTGAGCACAACTTCAGTTTGTCAATGGTCACCACCTTCGTTAGCATATCTGCTGGGTTCTTGCTTCCTACAATCTTCTTCAAAGTCAACACTTCATCCTCAAGAAGAGATCTGATGAAATGATATCGTATGTCAATGTGCTTAGTTCTGGAGTGGAACACTGAGTTCTTTGCCAGATGTATTGCACTCTGACTGTCACTGTGCAAGACACTCCCTATTTGAGTGAAACCCAACTCTGCTAACAATCCTTGAAGCCATATCAATTCTTTACTGGCTTCTGTCACTGCTACATACTCAGCCTCTGTAGTGGATAGAGCAACAATCTTTTGTATCCGCGACATCCAACTAACAGCTGTAGCTCCGACAGTGAAAACATAACCAGTGGTGCTTCTTCGGTGATCAACTTCACCTCCGAAGTCTGCATCTACATAGCCCTGTAACTTTAGATCTCCTTTTCTAAAATACAGACATTTTTCTGTTGTGCCCCGTAGATATCTCAAAATCCATTTGACTGCTTCCCAATGAGCTTTTCCTGGCTTTGACATAAACCTGCTAACAACTCCCACTGCATGGCCAATGTCTGGCCTCGTACAGACCATCGCGTACATCAAACTTCCAATGGCTGAAGCATAAGGAATCTTAGCCATGAACTCTTCTTCTTCTTTTGTTTGAGGAGACTGGTCCTTGGATAGACGAAAATGACTGGCCAAAGGTGTACTGACTGGTTTGGCCTTGTCCATGTTAAATCTTTGCAAAACACGGTTGATGTACTCCGCCTGAGATAACTGCAAAACTCCTTTTTGCTTATCTCTCGTGATTTGCATTCCAAGAATCTTCTTTGCTGGGCCTAAGTCCTTCATGTCAAATTCTTTTGACAACTGCATCTTCAATTTTCTGATGTCTTTCATATCTGATCCTGCTACTAACATGTCATCGACATAAAGTAGCAAGATGATATAGCTGGACTCATACTTCTTAAAGAAACAACAGTGATCAGCATTGCACTTCTGGAAACCTTCCTTGTGCATGAAGCTTTCAAACTTCCTATACCACTGTCTTGGAGCTTGTTTCAGGCCGTATAAGCTCTTCTTCAATTTGCACACCATATCCTTCTTTCCATCTGAAAAACCTTCACGCTGGTGCATATAGATCTCCTCATCTAGGTCTCCGTGAAGAAATGCAGTCTTCACGTCTAATTGCTCTAAGTAGAGCTCTTCACTAGCCACAATACTTAACACCGTCCTGATAGTATTGAGCTTTACAACTGGAGCAAAGATTTCAGTATAGTCAACTCTTTCTTTCTGCTGAAATCCTTTGACAACCAGTCGGGATTTGTATCTTCTGGAACCATCATGGTCTTCCTTCACTCAATACACCCATTTGTTGTGAAGTGCTTTCTTTCCCATAGGTAACTTGACTAGTTCCCATGTCTGATTTGAGATCAAGGACTTCATCTTGTCCTTCATGGCAAGCTCCCACTTGCTAGCATCTGTGGTTTGACAAGCTTCCATGTAATTTTCAGGCTCTCCTCCATCAGTCAGCAGCATGTAGTCCATGTATCTCCTGTTAGGCACATGGGGCCGAGAGGACCTTCTCAATACAGGAGCTGGAGTAGGAGATTCTGATTGCACATCACTTTCTTCATTTGATTCCTCTGACTGAGGACTCCTCATTATAGGACTGTCTGGGATATCTTCCAACTCAGCATAAACTGGCCCACTCGCTTCTGGGTTGCTGGCACTTGTATTATGCCGGTCCTTGTACATCACTCTTTCATTAAAGATGACATCTCTGCTGCGGATCATCTTTTTGTTTTCATCATCCCATATGCGGTAGCCAAACTCATCTTCACCATAACCAAGGAAAGTACATTTCTTTGATTTTGGATCAAGTTTATTTCTACCTTGATCACTGATGTGCACATATGCTACACACCCGAAAACTCTAAGATGTGAGAGTTTTACTTCTTTTCCGCTCCATACCTCTTCTGGTAACTTGTGATCCAATGGTACCGATGGACTTCAGTTGATCAAGTAAGTTGCTGTGTTGACTGCTTCTGCCCAGAACTGCTTTGGTAGGCCTGACTGCACACACAAGCTTCTAGCTCTTTCAGTCAACGTTCGATTCATACGCTCAGCTACACCATTGTGTTGAGGCGTACCAGGCACGGTTCTCTCCATTCTGATCCCGTGCTCATAGCAAAACTTCTTGAATCTGGTGGTTACGTATTCACCACCATTGTCGGATCTGAGCTTCTTGATCTTCAAGCCTGTCTCATTTTCCACCATAGCTTTCCAAATCTTGAAAGCTTCAAATACTTCCGACTTGTGTTTTAGAAAGTAAACCCATACTTTTCTGGAGTGATCATCGATAAAAGTCACGAAGTATTGCTTCCCACCAACGGATGGGACAGTGGTTGGACCCCAAACATCAGAGTGGACGAGCTCAAGCTTCTCATTCTTTGGAGTTCTTCTAGTTGTTTGAAAGCTGACTCTCTTCTGCTTTCCAAGTATACAACCTTCACACATGTCAATTTCTATTGACTGGAGGCCTGGTAATTTTCCTTTTGAGTGAATGATCTTCATCCCTTTTTCACTCATATGCCCAAGTCTTTGGTGCCATAGATTGGGACTTTCATTTGCTGCAACTGCAATCAGATGACATGCTCCTGAGGTCTTGTAAAGAGTACCACTCTTTTTGCCTCGAGCAATTGTCATCGCACCCTTTGAAATCTTCCAATCATCACCATGGAAGATTGTCGTGTAGCCTTCACTGGCTAGCTGGCCCACGGAGATTAAATTCTTCGTCAGGTCGGGAATATGTCTAACATTTTTCAATTCCCATACAGACCCGCTCAGCTTGATTTTTATTGCACCTTTCCCTACAACCTCACATGATTGCTCATTACCAAGGTAAACTTTACCAAGGTTACCAGGAACATAATTTTCGAGTAGTTCCTTCTGTGAGGTAGCATGAAAGGATGCTCCAGAGTCTAACACCCAAGACTCTTCTCTGTTCTCCAAAGAACATACCAGCATATCTCCTCCTGAGGATGAGGCAACATTTGCTTCTTCTTTTGCCTCTCGAACCTTCGGTGCACTCTTGCACTGGTTTCTGTAGTGCCCGATCTTCCCACAATTCCAGCACTCGATCGACTTCGAGGTTTCGGAATTACGATGATTTCTGGACTTGGATCTTCTTCCTTTTGATTTGTTGTGTCTGCTTTCTTTGGTTGAACTTCTTCCTCTTGACTCTGTATGCAATACAGAAGAGGTCGATGGTTCACCCGACTCTCTCCGCCGGATCTCTTCACTGAGAACCAAATTTTGGACATCATCAAATCTCAACTTATTGCTTCCCGATGAGCTACTCACAACCGTGACTGTAGCATTCCAACTTTCTGGTAGGGAAGACAAAAGTATTAAAGCCCGTACTTCATCATCGAACTCGATTTCAACTGAACTCAACTGGGTGTTGACGGTGTTGAGCTCATTGAGATGATGTGCCACCGAAGCACCTTCGGTCATCCGAAGGTTGAACAATCGCCTCATCAAATGAACTTTATTTGAGGCCGATGGTTTCTCGTACATGTTGGAAAGAGCCTTCATGAGGCCTGCTGTCGTCTTTTCTTTTGCAATGTTAAAAGCAACATTACGGGATAACGTCAGCCGGATGGCTCCAAGAGCTTGTCTGTCAATGAGACCCCATTCTTCCTCCTTCATGTCCTCTGGCTTCTTTCCTGTGAGTGGTTGATACATATTCTTCTGGTACAGATAATCTTCGATCTGCATCTTCCAAAAGCCAAAGTCCGCACAATCGAACTTTTCGATTTTCATTTTTCCTTCGTCTGCAGCCATCACTTCGACTCTGATCTGACTTTTCTGCCGGATCGTTTCTGCAATTTTGTGAACTACCGTGTTTCAAAACACGTCGGTAGATAAATTTGTAGCGCCGACAAATTTGGCACTATTTCCGTTTTTCACTATTCACGGAATAGTAACCCACACAAAAATTACAGAATTAACAATCTGGCTCTGATACCAGTTGTTGGAAAAATACGCTGAAATTTCCATGAAGTCGGATCTATAAAAGTGAAATAAAAAAAAATAAAAATTGGACACAC